CGTACATATCTGCAGTTCGACATCAGAACTAAATCACGAGGTCTTCTGCTATTCCAACTCACAAGTATTGCGCCTCATAACCCAAAGTCCGCCATATTCGGAAGACTTCTGTCTCTGCTTCATCGAAGAGGTGCCCTTCTTCATCTAAAACAGTGTCCAGTGCCAAGTTGAAGGCATCGACATAAAGCGAGCTTGTGCCCCTAATCCATGCACGCTTCTCCAGACGTTCACTGGTTTCTTTTGATTTATTCTCTTCTGATACCTTGTATGCTTCATACTCCTTGATGGCGTCGTCGTCTATCTTCACGTCTGGCAATGCGCTTTCCAAATCCGTTTTGGGTTCCTTCTCTTCTTCTTTGATTTCCACGCGAAAGCCTTCATCCTCGGAGCCAGGCACCTCACGTTTCACTCTTTTGCGTGGCGTAGGCGGTGCCTTTTTCGGGCTGTTGCCTTCCTTTTGACGCTTTACTGGTTGGTCTCGTTCACCGTCAAAGTTTGTAGATTTCGGATGTTTGATAAACCGAGTGATCATCTGATTGTGAACGGAAGGACTTTGGGGGTTAAGAGCCATGTCTGGAGTCGCAACAAGCTGCTCAGTGGCTCCATCGATCCAAAGTGGCGTCGCCACGAGAGCGGACGCGATTTCCCCAGGGTCGCGGTGTCACGAGGGAGCTAGTCCTTTCTAGTCATCAAAAGGACGCCTCAGTGACGTCATTGGAAGAGGAAAGATGTGCCTCGTGAAGATGTGCCAGCAGCTGAGAAGATGGAGAAAATGCTTCGAAAGTATTCTTGGAATGGCTTCCTGGTATCTCTGATAAAAACCGCCTCAAAGACGTTAGTTTACTTGAACACCCCAAACCCATATCCTCATGGGCATGTATCGACTTCTTTGGCTCTCGTCTGCCACCTCTAACAGCGTTTCTCCCCAAAGTCTAATACGATCCTCTCCATGATCTGCTCAATCCCTGAAGTCTTCCACAGCTCATGTGTTTACAAATGTGGGTATCTTGTGGTCCATATATCCAAACCGATGTGCTTGATACCTCCACAAACCCAATAGACAAAACTTATTCAAAGGAATGTGGCATGTCTTGGAAAACACTACAAGTATTCACCTTCCTTGTTGTTCCCCAAGATCCTAACGAGAATCTTGGTGTCATCCCCGATAGCCTCAATTCTCTACGACTCATGTATCTTGTTGTTGAAATGGATACAAATCTAGATACAAGTCGTTTCGTATCGCAATGTTGTAGTTGCATCTACAAGATCGACAATGTACCACTGTTTTCCTTGGACCTTGTTGATACTGTTAAGAACTATCATACTTTAGGGATCCAACGGCAAAAGCGAAGCGCAGTATCGGACTGACTGTCTGCACTGCGGTAGGCACACAGACGTCAGTAACAACAAAAGCTCTTTGCCGCACGAAAAAAAAAGCATCGTCTCCTGTTGGCGACCTTCGTACGATTTGCTCAATTAGTGTGCGTACAGCTGTTGAGGTGTAGACCCTTGGATGCGCCGAGACCGTTAGCGTCCATCATGAGTGTTGTTAGATAGATATGCACTCTCTGAGCACACACCAATATTGTGAGACGTACATGCAAACCCATGGCCACTTCCAAAGTTGAACGTTTCGTTCGGTATCCCCGTCGCGGGTCCTTCTCCTGCATCAGATGCATCCATCTGTTGCTCGGTTGGGTGATTGTGGACCAAACTGAGCGTAGCCCAGTCGATGCTTTCCCATGCATCCAGATCCGGCTCTGCGACGTGGTGTTGCAAAGGTCCGATGGGGCTGTTGGCGTCTTCAGCTTTGAAGGGTGCCTCGAAATATGGCGCAAGCCTACGTACAAGAAAAAATTATATATAAGCAAACGAATGCATTGGCAGGATGTTATGGTCATCTAACCTGAGATTAACAACCCTTTCCCACAGGTGGCACACAGCTTTATCTAGCTTATAGCTGACCCAGCCGCATAGATGTAGTCGTTCAAGCAGCATCTCTGCCGATAGTATACCGAATTCCGCGCATGCGAGCGATGTCTGATGGATGAACCAGACGGCTTCCGGCGAGGGCTCAGCCGATATCGCACCGATAGATAGAATCCACAGTAAGAGATCAGGGCAATTTTGCCATTCGGTTCGGACGGTGCAGTTGAGTGCTTTCTCGAGGCGCTTGCTTGCAGCAAAGTGGAGAAGATGAACGTGTGACTGCACCTTCATTGCCTCTGTAGTACGCACGGTGAAAATCAGCAGCGCAACGCACAATGCATCTTCGAGAGGCGTGACGAGATGTTCGTTTTCTCGCAGCCATGCTAGCAATGAGCACTCCAAAACACAGGCAAAGTTTTGAATATCGAGAGGATCCAGCGGACTTTCGGGGTCACCAAACCAAACGTTGAGATCAGCTATTAGCACAAGCACTGACTCTACCAAGGCATTGAGAGACGTTTTGACACCTGCATAGCGACAATAGTTGTTGAGGTGTTTTGATATGTTCGGGCGGTAGTCCGGAGGGTGGCGTGGGAAGATTGCTGTGTTTATGAAATCCAAGGTTGAGAGGTTTGGTGCTTGGAAAGAAGCGACGGCGTGAGCGGTTGAGTGCCTGGTGCTTTGTAAGCACATGCCAACTCAGTTCAGCTGGCGATGCAAAGAAAAAAAGTGTTCACCCACCAAAGCATGAAAGCCTGGAGGATACGGTTTGTCTTGATGGCACCGAGTCCTCCGCGCAGTTGCACCATTCTTTGCAACCCCCTCTGGTGTATCTGAAGCTGCGCCATATGGTCCTCTTCAAGTCTAAAGGTTGGCAGTAGCAAGCTTTCTTCGACAGTGAGTAGATTAAAGACTGCGCCAATGTTGGCATCAGAAATTCCTTCTGGAGTCAGTATAGCCGCATTCACCGCAGCGATTGCTTGTGCGCGATGGTATAGGATGGCGTCAATGGTGCCTTTACCAAAAACATATGCATGCAGAGCTATGGTAGATAGCAGGCTGTGCATAAAGCCTGGGTTACTTATCGCGGTGCCAAACCAATCCGACTTCATGAGGGTGGAGCGATGGCGGACGTCGACTGCAATGATCCCTGGCGCCATCTCGGTTGAGACTGTTTCGTGGTCAGCAACGCAATGCAGCAGGGCTTTGGTCAAGCCACAAATGGCAATGGTGCCAAATGCGATGGTCCCTCTTCTGTGCTGACGTGACCAACTTGAGTATGGGACACAAACTAAACAGGGTTGCTGTACCACCATGCCGGTATCCACAGACCCATGTACCCAAAACAACGCAGGGACTACGACTTACAATGCCTCAAAAGTTCGGATACATCTCGAGTGACTTCAATGGATGAAGTGCGGAAGGGGTCAAATGATTCGGTGCTTGGATCTTGAGCAGGCGCAGGATTCTGTAGTAGACATCTTGGGCACAGCCGCTCATTGGGGCGACAGAGAAAGACGTGACAGTCGGGGCAGACGAGTTTTCTGGCCAGTGCATACTCACGGCGGTCCTGGAGAGGGAAGTAATCAGATCTGTTTGAGAGGAGCGGAGGACTTGGCGTTGCAGTGTTTGGCGTGTGTGTCGAAGGAGAGGTAGCGCTGTTGGGGCTTGTGCTTTCCGGGCTGCCCGTCTTTCTTTGCTTTGCAGCGTGCTTGCTGGTGGACCATGGATTCTTCCTGCGCGCATTCTGCATAACAAAGGAACGAGCATTGCGGCGGCCCTGGCGAGATGTCTTTGCTTGAGCGGCGTCGACGAACAAAAAGTCCTGTTTTTGAGACATTATGGGCTCGGCCCGCCAGCGCCGTCGTGGCCCTAGGGTGCCAAAGTGTCCCGTCGCGGGACCCAGCGAGGCGCCGTCTGGTGGATGGCAGAGAAGACGAAGGAGTGGGGCTCAGCAAGGCGTCGCCGGTCGAAGAGAAGGAGGAGTGACTGGGCCAGGCTTTCCTAATCGATGCTCGGCTGCCACCATTTTGATTCTGACATGTGCGGAAACGAGGCTGAGTTGGGGTGGTGTCGTTCTTGGTGATGCTTGACACGGCGGAGGGGCTTGGGCAAGTGCGAACTATCAAGAACCTGATTGGTATTAGGCTGCAGAAGCGATGCCGGGTAAGGCCTCTGTCGGGGGCCGCCGATCTAGACCGCTGGCGAGCCTGTGTATCGAGGCGAGGGTTGACCTGGTGTTTTCTGGAGGCGGATGCAGAGCCGTTGCAGCAAGCAGACGGCGAGGGAAGCAGGGTCCCGGCTTATATGTAGGCCAGACATCAAAAATAGCATCAGCATCACCCATGGCCCGTGGCTAACGCTGCATTTGCATGGTCTGCAGTATGTATAGAACGGGGCCTGTCTGCTCCAAGTGTAGGGCATGAGCATGTACTTACGGGCTACCTGCCGTCGCCCATGTGGCGCTGCATGCACACTGGCTGCTGGAAAGATGGCCGAGTGGTGTCTTGGGGGGTGGTGAAAGTCATGATTCGCTTGTCGGCCCCCATGCCCATGCAGAGAAGACAGAGAGAAGCGGCGGCTGCACCATCAGCACCTCGGACGCTTGTGCCCGACTCTGCCTGGACGTATCGAGTATGCATGGGTTGGTGGATGTATCTCCAAGCGTACTACATACGCATGTGTGTGCATGTGTCTTTTGCATGCCCGCCAGGCTGTGTGCAGATGGATCATGGATACGTAGGCACTCTTGGCTTCCGACCGCGTTCCGAGTCCGCGGCCAAGGGTCGTGTCGCAGACGCCCTGTCGCCCTCGCTCGTAGCAGACGGGAGCAAAGCAGAAACACCATGCATCCTGTCGAGATCAAGGGCTCTATGGCGCACGCACATGTCCAAAAGCCAAGGACCACACCGGTACCGATGCCAGCAATCTCTTGGTAAGCGCAACGGGTCCGCGCGTCCCTTTGCCGGCGCCGATGCTCTTGTGTTCGCACGCGTCATGTTGGCACCGAATCTTCCCAAAGGCAGATCGCAACTGCTTTTGCAAGCCACAGTGGCGCCCCTCCCTTCACCATGCTCTCTTCTCCAGCCCTCGTCGACATACCCGCACACATCCTCCATGCCGAATTGCTCCGCAGGCAGGACGAGGCCGATGAGCGGCCAAAGTGCGAGACAAAAGGCGCCAAGGAGCAGTACAACACAACGCTGCATGTCTTTGCCCTGCTGCTCATCCTCACTCTGAGCACAGCGGGTACGTCCGCCGCCCCCCACCCACACCTTCCACCCCCTCGCTGCTAACCCGCACAGCTTGCTCCTTCCCAATCATCGTCAAGCGCTTTCCCTCGATCCCCGTCCCCCACCAGTTCCTCTTCATCTCACGCCACTTTGGCACCGGCGTCCTCATAGCCACCGCTTTTGTCCATCTCCTCCCCACGGCCTTCGAGTCTCTCACCCACCCATGTCTTCCTCACTTCTGGAACAAGCGCTATCCCGCCATGCCGGGTCTCGTGGCTATGACGGCCGTCTTCGTGGTCGTGAGCATTGAAATGTTCTTTGCAGCACGCGGAGCGGGACATGTGCATTCGACAGGCTACGAGAACCTTGGCCTGGACTCCTCTCAGAATGGCGCCCGTCCAGCCCACAAGAGGAGCCATAGCTACGGCATGTACAGCAACGGCATGTCAGGGACGAGTGGCCTTGCGCCAGGCATTGTGCTCCATGACGTCGAGTCCTCGACCAACTTGATGGCCGGAGCATCACCCATAACCCCTACCGTGCCCATTGACGCACAGAATCAAAAGTCCATGGATAATGGCGATGATGATGATGATGATGATTCAGATCTGGAAATCACTAGAGAGGAACTGGCTCATCAGGATGTTGAAGATTCAGAAGACGAATCCCGCCTGCTGCCAGGACCTCACACCCACCAGCAGCACAGCCATGGCCGTGGCGAATCGTCCCAAGTCCCAGAAAATTCAGAGGCCCAAAACAAGAAGCTCTTGCTTCAATGCTTGCTGCTCGAAGCTGGCATCCTGTTTCACTCCGTCTTCATAGGCATGGCCCTTTCAGTGGCAACCGGCACTGCCTTTGTTGTACTTCTCACCGCCATATCCTTTCACCAAACTTTTGAAGGGTTTGCACTTGGTGCGAGAATCAGTGCTATTCACTTCCCAGCTGGATCACCAAAACCATGGCTCATGGCAATGGCCTACGGCACAACGACCCCTATTGGCCAAGCCATAGGACTGGCGATTCACACGCTATACGACCCTGCAAGTCAAGTTGGCTTACTAACGGTGGGCTTCATGAACGCCATATCAAGTGGCCTACTTCTATTCGCTGGCCTGGTCGAGCTTCTTGCCGAAGACTTTCTCAGTGACGAGAGTTACGTCACCCTGCGTGGCAAGCGACGTCTACAGGCGTGCGCCAGCGTTTTAGGAGGGGCGTACCTAATGGCACTTGTCGGTGCATGGGCATAATTCGTGTTTGTATCGTCGTAGTTTTTAGCGTCTCATGCATCTCTCTCTAGCGTTGTGGCTAATAACATAGAGCCTCTTCCGCTTCATAATCACATTCGCCTCTGCAATCAAATCGCGCAGGCCCGAATATCTAGGCTGGTTACAAATGATCGCGTATTGCCGAGACTAAGGTTACATTGTGAGGCAAATTGCAGACATGCATACAAATCCGATATCAGGCGTCTCAGATCATGCCACTGCGGAATTTTTTTTCTTGTAGTACGACTTCGATTGGATGGTCCCTATGATTTCCTCAACATCTACTTTTCCACCTCCTCTTGCTCCTCTGTGCTTCCCACTTTGTGCAACACCTCGCCACTCTTCTCGCCTTCGTTTCCGCCCCCAGTGCCCATTTCCTCCTCCAATGCTCTACAGCGCTCAACCAAGTCACTGACATGCGCATCGCCACTATCTTCGCTTAATCCGAGCAGCGCAACATCAAGGTTGTACAAGTATTCTCGGTTCTCTCCACTTGGGCCCTTGCCTAGGAAATCATCAATCAGCAAAACAATCATTACAAAGGGAAAAGAACGACTCACTTTGGAGGATTTTCGTCGCCAACTCATCCGGGTCCTGTGCACCTAGAAACTGGGGGTTTTCTGGAAGCCCAATGTACACTAAACACTTGATGCACTCTGGCTCGGGCACAACCGACGCTGTGCTCGTGACCTTGATGGCTGTCGAAGGCAACGACGACGAATCCTCAGCGGGCGCTTCTTCGGGTGCAGCAGTTGCGCTGCTAACGGCAGGATGGAAAGGCGTGAATTGGATCGAGTAACCATTTATCTCTCGGAGATCAAGATATTTGCGCACCGACTCGACGTGGCGGGCGGGAATATGGTATGCTGCGCCCCAGACACGAGAGGGCGCGTCATGCTTGTGGCATGGTCTTAGTATCCATGTGTTGTTGTCTGGGAGAGGACGACATATGCATTTACAAATGCATAATGGGTTTTCGATATGGGAAAACGGAAAACAAACGACTTACTTGATCGCCCAACGTCTCCCAATGCGCCCGATCAATCAAGGTGACCACGCGGCCAGGTGCTTCGGGCGTACCGCGGTGATCCTCACTGTAGTTTTTTCTCAACCGTTATTATCCACGTGTTCTGTGGTCTGCAACATGCTAGACTGAGTCGTGGACATGGAATTCTTTACCTCGCCTACACAATCATTAGGTTAGTCCTCGTTTTTTCTGGTCTATTTTGTTTTCATGCAGATCAACATGTGCATGACTAGCTTCCGAGTCGGATCTGATAGCCATATACCTAGAAGGGAAAAAATCAACATACCTGCCAAAACCGCCTCACATAACCTTCAATATATCCCGGAAGTCTTTGATCTACATTAATCAGAACCAGAGTATTTCATTCATCGAATGACTGAGAAAAGGAAAAAAAAAGACAGGGACCGCAGCATGCGCGGGAAGCAGAAAACATGGCTAGATAGCTTATCCGTAAACGTATCAGGCGACTTTTCTTTTCTTTTCTTCTCCTCATTTTCTCGGTGAAAAAAACAAGATTTAGTAAGGGAGGGGGACGGGCCGTACCGTAGTGTGGCGGTGGTTTCCAGATCAAGCTTCTATTTCAACCGAAAAAACAAAGCACCAAGCGAGTTAGCCCATGTGACACTCCAACAAACATCAAGCCGCACATGTATATATATATATATGCATGCAAGCAAACACATATGCTCAATCAAGACACATACAGAAGTGTGTATGTGTATGTGTATGTGTGTGAGAGAGAGAGGTGGAAGCGAAAGCATAAACAAAAGGAGACAGTTTTTTTTTTTTGCACAGTGATTTTCAACGTACCCATATCCAAAGATCCAAAAATCATTATTAGCTCCAAATGATTCAATCTCCTTGTCATGTTCTGTCGTCATTGTTTTTTTTTTTTCTTTCTCTGCTTTATCTCCGGATTTCTTCGGGAACAAAAAACGGGAAACGGGCAAAGCGGGTTGTTTAAAAACCAAGGAAAAAAAAACTGAAGAGGACTGAAAAAAAAAAATAAAAAATACGGTTGCAGCAAGCAAGCAAGCAAAAAAAAGCTACAAGCCGTTGGAGAGGGGGGTTGGGAAAGGGAGTGGGAACGGGACGGAATGGGGGAATGCTTAAGCTTAATTACCTAAGTCTCACCTTGGAGGGCAAAAAAAGAGAATAGCGTGCGTATGCTTCCATGCGCTTCTACTGGCGGCTTTTCTGCCGTGAAGTGGGTTAGTGGGGCATGCGCGCATATGTTTGTGGGATGGGGGGGCTAGACTGCATGGAGTATATGTTACAGGGGGGGATTGGATTAGAGGGTCCAAATGCATGAGGGAGGAAAAAGGGAAAAGGGAAAAAGTGGATATGATACGATTGTCATATACCTCAGACAAAATAAGGCTGACTTCAGGGATTGCTTCGGGTCGGAACATGGGACGGGTGGTAGAGGGGGTTACTTCGGGGAGTCATATTTTTTTTTGGATCTTTTGGTGAGTTTTTGTCAAACTAAATATGTATGTATACACAATGTACAGTAGTGGATAAAAAGTACAACAAGCTTTTTGATTTTGGGGGAGTGCTCATGATCCACCGGCTGCTTTGCTCATAAAGAAGCCTTTGAGCGGGCCCATGGCGTCCACGGCTCTCAAGCCTAGGCTTCGTAGTCCTACGAGTGGCCCTGATCCTACACTATAGAGTCTGTGGAGCTTGTCACATACGCCCAACATGGCATTGTTCTCCGCATATCGTTCACTGTTGTAGCTTTCCAATGCTAACGTTGACCCTATATCCTGACCGGTCTGAACAGCATACGATATTGTTCGGACAAGTGCTGCCGCATCGCCCTGTCCTTGATTGAGGCCTTGGCCTGCAAGCGGGTGAATCGTGTGTGCAGCATCACCGACTAGTGCGACTCGTTCGCCTGTATAAGTGTCTGCATGCCGCATACGAAGCGGAAAAGATGCAACAGTGCCGGCCTGTACGTTGGTCACTCGCATGGGGATCGCGTGCTCATCGACTGGTGTGTGCTTCTCTCGCCATGCGACTTCTTCCTCATGTCCCGACGATAATGTGTGCAAGTACTCGAGATCAGTGGGTGACAGCCGGAAGCCTGCGTTGACCATGGCAACAAACTCCTGCTGCGACAGTGCCTTGAGTCTAGCGGCACGCTCCGGTGTTGTGCTCCATACAAGCGTTGACATGTTGCCAGGCAATGGCAGCATAGCAATTGGTCCAGTTGGCAAGAAGCGCTGGTACGCAATCTTGTGATCCGACCCTCCCCATCCTTGACCTTCAAGCTTCAGGCTGGCCACAACTCCATGTCTATTGTAATCGAACCCTCGCGACTCAATGCCTGCAAATGTCCGAACTGGACTATTCGCACCATCGGCGCCAACCAACAGCCTCGCAGCGAGTGATTTCCCATTTGACAATGTGAGTACCGGCCAGGATGAAAAGTCCATCTTGTCTGTATCGGTGCCCAGGCCTATCGAATTGACCTTGGTAGATGTGTAGAAATCGACACCGCCAAGCTCTTCAAGCCGGCTCAGCAGGCCACTGACAGTGTTGACATTCTCAATCATGTATGCAATGGTCGTCGGCTGCGCGGAGTTGCGGGGGGTAAGGAGAGGCTTTGCGGTGTGCCAGTCAAAGGATATGCGTGCTCCGCTTACGCCATCCCATACTTGCATCTCCTGGTATGGCTGTACTCGAGGCTGGTTGACATGGGCCCACGCTCCAATCTCTACACAGCATATGTTAGACAATTCCATGATTCAAGGATCCACATGCTCGTGCGCACCCTGCAGGTTTCTCACGGAAGCCGGTGTGAGGGAGCTACATCTATTCGAGAAGGTCTCCAAGCTTGCGTCTTGCGCCAGCCGGCTCTTGTGCAAATCCTGGCCCTCGATAAGTGCAACTTTCAGTCCATTGGTAATTGGCGATGCTTTCAGACCTGTAAGTAGACTGAGGCCAGCCGGACCTCCACCTACACAGACGACATCGTAGACTTCCGGTGCATCTACGGAGCTCGAGAGAAACCTCCGCTGGGGCTGCAGGCGCACGCAGCATGTCAATGGCGACGATAGGGCTCGGGGCGGTGCCAATGATATTCGAGGCGGCATTGCGAGCCTTTGAGGAGCTGCCGTGACATACGCGAGTATGTGTGATTTGCGCACCTCGAGCGTTGGAATGGTGGTGTCATAGCGGTGTTTGGCATGTTTGCAGATCCACGCTAGACAGGACATTATCTTATCGGGGGGGGGCGGGTCGAAGCGACATGCCGCCGCATTGTGGAGGCTGGCCGGGTCCCTCCAACTCTCCAACTTCATGCGGAACCACAACCACGTCCCGGCCAGCCAATCTAAGCAAACGGCATCAGTGCCGCCGGTACCTTTGCAATGGTCCTATTCGGCCCGTCGAGAAACATGCCGTTTATACAGATGCCAGCCAGCAGATGGATTGCCTGCTGACAGGGAATGTTGTGAAAGGATCAGACGGCGACTTTACCGAGAATACTGGCAGATTGCCGACTGAGCAGACAGATTTCTCATTAACAATCACCGGAGCTAATCTCGCTGGAACCCGTGTATCCGGATTGCCCTGCAAGCCGGCACTGGCTGAGACTGCCCTATGGTGCAGGGTCAAAACGACTGCTTTCAATGGGTGGAACTTTCTCTATCTGGACACCCAAACAAGGGATCAGAACCATGGGATCTGACAAAGTCTCTTCATTCCAAGCGCCTCCCATAGAACGGGTGCTATTGGAACCACCGAGCGTGGCTCGTTTATGCAGAACGCAAGACGTGAGATTTAATCATTACTTGCTTAAAACTTCCTTTCGGCTGCACTGGTTATTTAATCGGGTCCATACCATGATGCTGACCTGTCTCTTCCTCGATACCAGCCCATCAGACACGTCCGTCCGCCGTTTCACCCAATGCATCCTGTTAGGCTGCCTTCTTACACATCGTCCCAAGGTGCCTTGAAAGCCTGCTGCCACACCCTTACAGTCGCATTGTGCCTTGTATAAACATCGCCTAGAAGCGCCACTCTGGTCTGTACAATTCGACTGTTCCCCCAAACGCTTCCCCGCTGGCCCACACAATGAGCCATCAAGTTCACCAACACATATCATTTACCGAGCCGTCTGTAGCCGTGAGTTCCTGCGAAACCGATTCCGATTTGGAAACACTTCAGCCGTCTCACCCTCGACGACATACGCTAAAGCGAGAAGTTTCAAAATCCTTCTTGCATACGTGCAGCTACCTCGGAAAGCGCCGGAAAAGGTCACAATCAGTTCCAGAGAGGTCCATCGACTGCCCTTACCTAGTACTGCCACCTGGAGGCTACGTGATGTCATCATCATCTTCCAATGTCAGTAGCAACCACTCTGTCCTTACCACACCACTTCCCAGTCCTGCCATTGACGACACGGAACACGGACTGGAACATGGGCGGAGACAGTCGCAAGTTGCCGAGCTCCTCAACCGGCTCAACTTCAGACTCAAGCGGCTCTTCGGTAGCCGGAGAGGCTCGGTGGAAGATGGAGACCCGTCAGTGGCCTCTTTTGACACACGACGCTCAAGCTTGTCTTCCAATCTGCGTGGTCCTACAGACTCAGCAAACATCGACTGCACTCCTGAATATCAGATGTGGTATGGGTCATTTCAGCTCCCCAATGTAAGCGAGTTCTTTGACGCAAACGGCGATGTTGGCCCCAGTTCCTTCTACAACACTGCTGACTGGAATGCTTTCCAGGAAACATTGCAGGCACAAGGGAATGCAGCCATACAGACACACGTCAACAACCACCGAGAGTCTAACGCGGATATGGATCTGGACCGATTGGATTGGTTTCGAGCATATGGCACGCAGGGCTCTGGTTGTGAGCCGCGGACACGCAAAGATTCGTTCTTCAGTTTTGGCGGTTTCCTGAGATCGCGACGGTCTAGCAAAGTGGACAAAGGGAAGGGGCGCATGAATATGGACAACGATACAGCCGTGGGGCCACCAGACGAAATGGCGCTTCTATCTAGTGGCAGTACGAGATTAGGAGTGGAAACAAGCTGTCTTGCTGAGATTGGTGTTCTTCCCCGCGTGTCAATGGAGACGATGTTGCCTCTTTCGCCAAAAGAATCACAAGATGTCCCACAGGCGGAATTCTCCAGCTTGGAATCTAGCACACCATCATTGCATTGCTCGGGGTCTTCAACACCACCTAGTGAAGAGGCGCAGGAAAGACAGGTGTACAGAGCACAACGAGCCGGCTCTTGCATCACTATACCACTCTTGTTGGGCGAACAGGCAGGTGATGCAAAAGCAGCCTGTGGGTCTCCAGCGTCGTCAGTCTGTAGTATGGATGATCAACCGGTTCCCATTAGACCTGCGACGCCGGTGCTGGTCCCCACCATTGTGTCATCACCATCGCCACTGACCCCAATTCAAAGTCTCAGTCTGGGCCCTCGGCAACACGAGATGGAATGGAACCGGTGTTCTTCGAGCAAATGCAGGTCCCGTGTCTCGTTGTGCGAGATGTTGAGTGATGAAGCGCCTCGGGCGGTGTGCTGTTGCTCTTGTGTTCGGGGAGGAGGTAATAGGGCATCGGGTGGACTGGGTTTGAGGAAGAGCCTGGATGATAGGTGTTGGTGGGATGACGATGATGGTGGCAAGGGTGGCGCCACGCGGAAGCTGCACATGTAAGAGTGACTGTCCAGAAAAACAAAAAAAAGCGGTCGCGGCTTGTTGGTGACGAGACGAGACGGGTAGTGCGTGATCATCACGAGTTGTTCTGTTCAGCGTTAGTAATGGCTAGTAATGAATTGGACCTTCATAAGCTTTGCGCCTAGTGCTTCATGTTTTTGTGCTGTGTGCCTGAACCTGTTTATGTTTTGATATCCGAGGCTTGTGTTTGGGGAAGGGTGCATGGGACGTGAGTCAGGGTATTGCAGTGATATGCATGGGAAACATGATTTCCATAATCAACCGTCGTGTCGGTTATTCGTATTATAACGTGATACTATGCCAATTATACTGCGGCAGATGCTCGTGCTCCCAAAATATGCAAATACTGCCAAGAAGAACCGCAATGCGTTGAATCAAAAGACAGGGGAGACCTCGCCAGGCCTCGTGCTAAAATGAGCGAGTCATGTATCGCTTCCCCAAATGGGTATCGAAAACTGAAAGGACTGTTTTTGGATCCGAGACGCTATGCATGAGAAGAGGGAGTGAAAAATGTAGAGAAAAGAAAAAGATGCATGCTTGTTTTGTGCTCGCCGAACCTCTTTACAAGAGGATGGCAAAGCCGAAAAAGACACTGCCAAAGAGAGCAGCCAGGCCCAGACCAGCGTTGGGCATGAAGAGGGAGCCGGCGCCCTTGTTGCCGCTGCCGCTGTCGCTGGTGCCGGTGGACTGGGCACCACCGAAACCAGTGACTGGGATGGTGTTGCTGGCGGTACCGGAAGGCTTTGCGGTGGAGGACATGGTAGTTGGGAGAGAAGTGTTACCGCGGTAGGGCTCTTGGGCACCGCATGGGTGGTTCTGGCTGAACGAGTGTTAGCAGTGTTTTGAGACTGTGATGAGTTTTGCAAGTGCTTACCGGCAGTCGCTCTGGCAGGAAGGATCATTGCCGCAGTTGGCAACACAGTTGTTTCCCCATTGCTGGCAGATGAAGAAGGGCAGGGTCTGGGAGTATTGGGTAATGTTTGGAGAGACACCATTGTCGCAGACGCAGTTGTAGGTCAAGTTGTCGGCATCGCAGTCATTTGCCTCTGTAGTCATGGAGGTGACGCCAGGCTGCTGGAGACAGATGAGCGGGCATTGTGCCGTGTTCTGAGAGCACCAGTAATCTGGAAGTGTGTGAGTTGACAGCCGAGGCAAACGGAGGACAGAAGCCAGAGTAGCACATACCTCTGGTGGACTGGGGAACGGAGTCTGGGTCGATTGTGTAAGGGTAGTTCATCTGCGGAGTTGTCTGAGCAGCAGTGAAGCCGGCCAAGGCGGCGATGCCGAGGGCGAAGACGGAACGCATGACGGGGATTATGGGAATGGCGGTGGGCGTTGAAGTGCTCGGTGGAATATGTGTAGGTGTTTGTAAAGCTCAGCGGTGGCGGGAACAAGCGGCTGGTGAGGGAATTACAGCAAGTTATATACGGTCAGCGACAGACAGCAAACGAGTCAATGCAAGGGGCACGGATGGTCAAGCAGCGAAGGTGAAGGCGGACGAGGAGGCTGGATGGCACGGCATGTGTGGCATAATATATAGCGGGAGGGATGGCATCGGCAGCAGACAATAAACTAGTGACGACGCGATAGGAAAGCTCACGATAGGGGCCGTGCGCGAGTCTCCCCGCCGGCCAGTGCTCTGAGGGGCGGGGCGGTGATTCGAGCATGCGCGGCGACATATGCAGGTGAGGCTAGAAAGAAGATGCTGCGGGCTGTGGGGAGACATTGAGGCGAGCGGGATTTGCCCAAATGGCTGCGAGCAGGCGACTAGGGCGGCGCTAGGCGGCCAGGGGGGGGGGGTGAGCAGGGGAGGTTGGCGCCACCCGCCTCGCTGCTAGCATCTGTCTGGCTTAGTCACGCCTGCCCTCGTCGTCGGCCCAGCATCCAGGGTCCTCGCACGCATCCGAGCGCGACCTGCCCATCCCCCATTGTGCATCTGCTCGGCCGGCCATGGACATCGCCATTGTCCATCGACACACGCTAGCCCGCTACTTAGGCCGCTGCACTGCTGTGTTGATGTTATTGCTGCTGCTGCTGCTGCTGCCGCGCTGCTGAGCATCCCACCGCCCGGAAACACGCCCAACCCCTCCGAACCCCCCGCCTCTGGATCCTCGACATCATACCCGTCAGCCCTCCCAGCCACAAGTGCATGGAGCCGGCCAAGTCTGAGACTCGAGAGCCGCCGCCGTCGCCAGACGGCAGCAGTGTGGCCGTGGTGCCGCCCTACTGGCAGCAGCACCAGCGCACTGCCAGCTACCGCAGCACTTGCTCTGCAGACAACAACAGCCGCCCTGCGCCCATCGGCCTCGAGGACCACACCCACGACGGCTCAGACCACTGCAAGGCGCTGTGGGCCAAGGGCGTCACCATAGACGATTACGTCGTCGTCAGTGGCACTGCGCCGGCCATCGGCGCATACGTCGTCTGGAACTGTACCGTTCAGACGCTCGAGGTGAGTTTGCCTCCAGCAGCCATACGCTAGCCTGCCGCGCCCTTGTCGGCCACCCAATCGCCGGCCGGCCTGGCCTCGCATGCCACACCATCCAAGTGCACCAGGTTGCGCATGCACAAGGGCCCGCGGTGGAGCAACGAGATGCGTCTTGCTAACTCTCGTTTTCGTCCAGGGAGGCCCCATGAAGATACGCAAGAGGTAGGCGTCGTTGTCATGTTTCCTTTGCCGTGTGCCTCGTGCACCACCTACCACGTAGTGTACACTACTCCAGTCAGAGCACGCTATTGACAGGCATGGCCAGATATTCCGAGTTTGAGGAGCTGCACGCAAAGCTGCTGCAGACATTCCCCCATGCCGCAGGCTCGCTGCCGCAGCTGCCCCCCAAGTCGGTCATCTGTACGTTGCACCACCTCACCTTACCCCACTTCGATAGTGCCGTTGACTGACCTGCTGGCCGTAGCTCGCTTCAGGCCCCGTTTTCTGGAAAAGCGGAAACAAGGGCTGTCGTATTTCCTAAAGTTTGTCCTGTATCGATAACCATCCCTAGCGCATGTTCGCTGACTTTTTTTAGCTGCGTCCTACTCAATCCGGAATTTGCTGGCGCACCAGTGCTCAAGGACTTTTTGTTCCCGTGATGTCATTTGCCGTATACCAATATTGCTTTTGTCCCTCTATTCTGCCCACGGTAGGGCCTGGGCCGCGCCCATCAATGGCGTTGGGTGCGACGTTGTTGGCTCTCTTGTGTGCGCTACCACTGATGCCAAGGCCTCGAGGTTTCTGTTTCATCTTTTTGTCTCGCACAGCTGCGTCACTTGTACATACAGACACACAGGCATACGTATACATACATCATACTACTACTACTACTACTACTACTACTACTACTACTACTACCGCTGTTACTTGCAACCATCCTTGGAAGTCGATGGCAGTTCAAACAAGATTCGTCGAGAAAGGTGCACTTGCTGATCGTGTGTCGGCCCCAGGACGGTAGCCAAGTGATTGGCCGGGCAGCCTCGGTGGCGCTGCCAGTCGCCCAAGCATGCCCGGGTTGCTGTGCTGCAATTCGCTGCGTGTGCCGCGAAGATACTGGAGCAATATGAAAACGTGACGAGTGTGCTATGAAGCTTAATCCGACGTCTGCTCGCCGGGGCGAAGCGTCGGTCGTGTGTGCAGCAGCCGTGGGAAGCGGTACAGGTGCAGCAAGCTCGCCTGCCAAAACAGCGCGGACGAGCTCTGCGAATCGACGACCCCCTAACGGCTCGCGTTTTGCATGAACCCAGCACAGCGCGACTCTCAATGGCAAGCTCGACAATGGGATTCTGAAAAATGTCCCAGCCAGTCGCGAATGATCTTCAGCTTGCTCAACATGGCCAACGCCGTTCGGCCTCTGCTGCGAGGCTCGAATGACCGGCAGACCAGACTCAACTTCTTGCCCGTGTCGCGCGATGACGCCCTCGCCCACGCCCACGCACACTCCCACGCACACGTCCAGCGCAACACCACGCCTACCGCCACCATCGCGACACGTCGGGCCTCGCGCTCCGGGCCCCTGATTGCGCTTGCAGACGACGACAAGCCCGTCCTCCAGACCTCGCCAGACACGCCCGCCGCCCGCACCACGAGCAGAAAGCGGCCTGCCACAGAGGTCGACCCAGACCAGCCCGACTCACGACCGCCCACCAAGATCACCGTCACACAGCCCCACGGCGACCACCTGCCTATCCCCAACAGTGTTTCCGTGCCCCTGCGCCTCGACGCCGCCCATGTCCCTTCGCCAGCGTCGACGCCGCGACCAGCCAGCGCTGGCAAGCTGACTGCCTCGACCCCAGCCGTCCCCGCCCCTGCCTCGACGGCCTCGTCGACGGACAAGAGGAGCCTGCGAAGCCACGATGGTGGATCGCGCCTAAAGAGCCATCTAGCCATTTACTTTTACAACTACGACGACATCATCGCAGGCGTCTCCAAGGACGACGGTAATGCTTGCCATCTCCATGTCGCTCTGCGTGCTGGCTGACGTCGCATACAGAATTCCTTGCTCTCGACACACCCATATACATTGTCGACGAACCCATCAAGAGCAACACCCCTGCACCCACCACACCACAGCCCTCGCGCAACGCAGTGAGTCCAGCGCGCTCAAGAAGAGTGAAACCCGCCTCGCCTGCTTCGCCTTCGCATCATGGCTCAGATGCGGCTATACCCCCGACGCAATCCTCCACGTCTTTCCAGGTTCTCAACTATGCCACCATAGCCAATGCAATCCACTACGAAGATGGCCAAGACCCGCTTGCCGACTCGGTCTACTTTACCCAGCACCGGCGCGCGGAGCGCAAGGAGAAGCAGCTGCGTAACATTGAAAAAGAGCGCGCTATGCACGAGAAGGTGCAACTGGAGCGCCTGCTCGACGGCCTACAGGGCCCAGACTGGCTCAAAGTCATGGGCATAACAGGTGTCACAGATGGCGAGAGGAAGGACTGGGAGGCCAAGCGTGACTATTTTATCAGAGAAGTAGAAGCGCTAGTCGACAAGTTCCGCGTATGGAAAGAAGAAGAGAAACGGCTACGCGCCGACAAGGAAGCCGCCCTAGCCGCCAAAGAAGAAGAAGAAGAAGAAGACGACGACGACGACGAAGCAGACGGCGACGACACGGAAGAATCCGACAGTTCCGTTGCAAACACACGAGACGCACCTCCGCCACGACACCAACCCAAGGAGCCAGAACCCCCCAAACCCAGACGGCCGCCTCGCCCTCACGGCTTCCTCCTTCCCCTCGTCCCACCGGAGCCTGCAGCACCCTTCCAGTCGTTTTACGCCAAACCCCATCTCCGCGCTGCAGCACTCGGCAAGCACCGCCACGGCCGCAACGCCAGCGCCTTTGGCCAGCCGATTCCTGAGTTCGCAGAAAAAGAGTTCGAACTGCCAGATGACTTTATCGATCCCCAGTTCTTACGCGACAATGCGAGACAGAGGCGAAGAAGAAAGCGCGAGAGTGGGGTTGGCGGTCCAAATGCGGCTTCTGCGTCGAATGCGTAGTCGTCAGTAAATGACTGCTTTCTCTTTCTCTTTCTTTCTCTTTGGGGAGACACTGAACTGGGATTCCGTGGGGAAGGTGTCCGAGATTATTTTTCTCCTTCTTCTTCTTCTTCTTCTCCTTCTTTGTTCTCTGCTTATACCCTTTATATAAACTTCACACATAACTGCGAGCACAATGTATCCACTTTTCTGTGCGAAGTCAAAATCAGGGCGTAAATTTCCATATTGCGGGGGGTCGTGGGCGTTGTTCTTGGGAGGTGTCGTCGTTCGGGGGGGGGGGTTTCCTCTCTCTCTCTCTTCTTCTTCTTCTTCTTCTTCTTCTTCTTCTTCTTCTTCTTCTTTCATTTAATATGCATGTATCGGGTTTCGGGTTAGGCAAATGGAAGGGAAAGAAGGGGAGGAATTTCCACCTTCTTCTCATGCAAATGCGTCATCGTCGTTGTGTATAGATAGGAGTTTTGGTATGTAGTGGGCTTTGTTGCCGGACCAATCAATCACTGAAAGCAAGTACCATGTATGTATATGCATTTGGCACAGGTTGGAAGATGGTGGATTTGATTGTGTGATTTGATTTTTTTCCAAATACGTGATTATGGCGTACGGATGGAAGCTGACGGTTGCCACTTGACTAATCCCAGTGTTTCCTTCATAACAATCCACCTCAATTATCTACAAGTAAAAGAGAAGGAAGAAAATACTCCATCCATACGGCGCATGAGAGAGAGAAGTCGGATGTAAATCGTGGCTAGTAAAAGAAGGAAGACAACCACCCACATACACGAGGTTTTTAGGACCAGCGCCGAGCAATGCCGCGCCCAGATGTTTGTTCCCACCCCCCTTTCCGTAAACGCCAAAAAAACAATTGCCTTTAGGTAACGCATCACAAAAATTACAATGCAATTCAAACGCTTGCCTCTGTACTGTCGTCATCAGGGTCATCAGCGTGTGCTCCCCCCACTTCGTCATCGCTATCGTCGTCTTCCTCCTCTTCATCTTGATCAGAGGTGCTGTCATCTTCGTCATCGCCTTCTTCATCTTCCTCGTCATCGTCGTCGTCATCCTCCTCCTCATCTTCATCTTCGTCATCTTCGTCCTTTTCCACAGGCATACCAGGAACCGGTCGCCATTGTACGTAATCATGCTCAACCCATCGTTTACTGCGTGGCAGAACATATGGATCAAATGGAAAGTACGCATCCATCAAAAACGCTTCCTCGCCCTTCTTACCCGTCAGGGCTGTCTCTCGGCCGCCTATGCCAGTGAGATAGCTGCTGGCAAGACTGCGGGCAAGCCGTACACGCTTATTCGTCTCCACTAGTGTATCGACATAGGTGAAGCGGAGGTGCTTGGCGATGCGGCCAAACTGCTTGACAATGTCGGGTGCGCATATCCTGAGCGGATTGAGCTTGCAGAAGATGTTGCGGCGAACAATTTCAAGTGTCGACCGATGCCACTCAAAGTCTCCCTCATGATACATGATGTCGGCGTCGGTCGGTAGTGAGCCGTCGGGTGTGACAATGAGGTCACGCCATCGGAAGCAAAAGGCGTAAAGCAGTGCTTGAGCAATGGCATAGTATGTGCCATAACGCCGTAGGTCAGGTCCTGTACATTTTGGCTCGTGCAGCATACGCAAACGCTCGAGTTGCGAGCACAAGAGGTCAAAGACGTTGCGCACAACAAACCCAGGAACATGGGCGCCGCGGGCAATGTACGAGGCAAGGTAGGCGCATGCTGATGCTCGGAGTAGTGGAGGCCGGTTTGAGTCAATGGCTAGATGTGAACAGGTATCCACAAAGCGCTCCATGAAATCCGTCGACAACTGGCTAAAGTGGAAGAGGATGAACTGGGTGTGCCGCGATCGGTATGTCGGAATGATGATGGATTGGAACTGTGCAATGAGAGACTGGTAGGTGCGGTCCATCTCCAAAAGGTCGCCCTTTTCGAAAATGGAGTCATAGTAGGCAAACTGAACGTCCATGACGGTATCAAGCTTAAGCATGGTGTCCTTGATGTCCTTGAGTCGCTGCTCTTCTGGCTCGAGACTTTCGTGACTCGAGACAGAGCCGTCGTCACTCATGTCGTCGTCATCTTCTTCGTTGTGGATGGCGTCGCCCACAAGCCGCTCCTCTAAATCGTCATCGATATCCTCCATGTCCATCTGCATCTGCGCGTCGATCTTGCATAGCTTGTCTGTCACTAGCGTGAGGACCTCGCCTCGGATCTCTGGCGCGTATTCGGTGACTTGGTAGATGTTCCGGATATACTCAGCGTGCTTCTTGGCACTCTCATTGGAAAAGGGAAATGTGCTGGCAATAATGGGAGCCAGGTAGGAGCTGACCATGGGGGTATATCGAAGTATCAAGACCAGAGTTTCGTGGACGCGTGCCAGGAGGCGAACTCGCTGAATTGGGGGGTCGTCGTGTTGTCTAGCGTTTACTGACGGCAGGTCAAGGAACATGTCGACAAGCATCTGCAGCACAGTAGACACGTAGCCAGACTGTACTGAGAGCAAGGAGCGCAGGAAATTGCGATAAGAGCGCACAAAGTCTTCATTGCGGGCGACCCAACTGCAGTCGATGACGGCATGGACTAGGCCTTTGCAATTGTGGTCAAGCTGCGGCGTGTGGCCAGTGAGGGCAACAAGGTACTTTTGGAGGAGTTGCGAGGAGGGCGCGTTGGCTGAAGTGGGTGCTTCCCTGAAGAGGGCTCGGAGTCCATCGTATGCTGCCTTGTCGCCTGTGGCGTGCTTCTCCATGGCTCGACGCACCTCCTCCCCCACCAGCTCTGCGCTCTTCTCATTGTACTCGCGCAGTACGTGCACATCGACTTCGGGGTGGAAGGTGACTCTGCGCTTTTTCAGCTGGCCTGGGATTGTGCTCTCGGCGTCGGATGAGTGGTCGAATTGTTTGCGTTTGAGGCTGCCACCCGTGCCTGGAGTGACGACGAGCGGCGAGCGGGGATTCGAGGCAAGTGAGACCATGGCGACTACAAAGCGACTGGCACAAGCTTTCACATTGGAGCAGAAGACAGTGTATCCAGCGCGTGTATACTTGGCGTGTGCTGGCAAAAAAAAAAGTACAGCGAGGGGCGGGGGTGATGGTGATTGCACGCGACTGCGGTTAGGGCCGAGAGAATTTCAGCGGGTCAATTGATTATATAAGCACAGACTGGGCGCATCCACCATGGTTCACCTGAGCCACTAATACTACATGATGATTGTGTCGTCTTAATCAATGCAGACAATTACATTTCACCGCACTGGGCAATGACAATGTCCTGCACAGGCTTCCCCTCTGGGTTTGCGAGGGTCCGCGTATTCTCAATCTTGGTCACTACATCCATACCCTCTACCACATTGCCGAACACTACGTGCTTTCCATTCAGATGAGGAGTACCGTTCTTAGCGGTGATGATGAAGAACTGGCAGCCATTGGTATTGGGCCCACTGTTCTGTGCATTGTTAGAGCTACGTAGTTTCAGACGACGCGCACACACACACAACTTACTGCCATTGACAGCAGACCGGGCTTGTCGTGCTGTAGGGTAAAGTTCTCATCGGCAAATTTCTCAGTGCCGTAAATGGTCCTTGAGCCTGTGCCGTTGCCATTGATGAAGTCTCCGCCTTGGATCATGAAGCCTTTGATCTAGTGCTGTTAGCAATGCGGCAAGCAGGCACGGATGCAAACGAGTATGCAAGCGCGCAAAGCGAAACATACGACACGATGAAACTTGCAGCCCTTGTAGCCCTGGGGCTGTCCGCGATTGTTCTTGGTTTCGCCAGTGCAGAACTGGCGGAAATTCTCGGCAGTCTTTGGAACGACATTTTTGAATAGCTCCATCTTGATCCTGCCCAGCTTCTCGCCTGGGTGCTTATGTCAGTCATTCTGCTGCGAGCGTGGGGGGCATGCAGCGGGACAAGGGCGAGGCGGGCAGACAGGTGGAGGCATACCTCCCAGGGTGATGTCGAAGAAGACGACTGGGTTGGGCTCGGTAGGGTCTGCCATGGTTGTGGCGGTGCAATTGGCGGGAGCAGAGAAGAGAGTTGGGGGGTGCAAATGTAGTCGGTATGGTGCGGTGCAGTGCAGGACCGACGCAGCTAGCGCTGGACAGGCTCGTGCAGGGCCTGGGGAAGACTCCACCCGCGACAGCGACAGCAGGGATGTCGGCCTGGCGATGCAGCCATCGGCCGGGCGTGCAAAGGCGCCGCTCGACAGATGAGGGTGCGGTGGTCCATGGCTACACGGCGCGTCCGTGTTGTCAAGGAGAGGATGTGCCTGGCGTGCATGTCGGTGTCAGCCATGTGCTGGATTGGAAATGGCACCTGCATGCGACATTAACGCAGGGTTTGGGGGCGCAGTGCCTGGCGTGCAATACCGCGATATGGCGCATGTGCATTGACGAACGACGGCAACACGCACGCCATGACAAGCGCAGCCGGCCGGTGCATCCAAGGCAATGTTTGCGTGCAGCACAAGACACAGGCGCCCTTTGTCTTCGCTGCTCGCCTTCGGGCAGACGGTGCGGCCAGGCGTGCGGGTTACGAGTACAGTGCCGGGAGTGGTTGTGCCCGGTGTCCTTGGCACCTGCCCTCTGCATTAGCGACGTCGGCTGCGGCCTTTATCCGCCTGCCATAAGCCTCGCCCTCCCCCAGTGCCACGCCCGACCGACGATCCCATTCACTGTCCATTCCACCCTCTCTGCCTGCCCTCAGCCCTTGCCAACCACCACCCACTGCCCGCGCCCTCTGCATCGCATGGCCGCCTCCGCTCTGCTCCCCATCCACCGCTAGCCGTCGTGGCATCCCGCAGTCACCGTCACAGCTTCAGCTGCGCCGCTTCCGCTGTAGCCACCGCTGTCGCCACTTCTCGCCCTGCTGCTGCCGTCACCACCGCCCGCTCTCTCCACCTTTCTCTCCCCGCAACATCGCGTTCCCCGCCCCACTGCATCGCCTGGAGAAAAACGCGACTCTGTCCTGTCCCAGCACTCGCACCCAGCCAAGTGCCTTCCCAATCTGGCCGACCACCTCAACCCGGCGTCTGCTCGGCCATATCCACGCCCACTCATGAGACACTAAGTCTCTTCGCATCTCACAATGTCAACCACTGCCGTCTTCCCCACCCAGCCCAGCCCGACCAGGCCGTCCAACAATGACGACAACGGAAACAATGGCGGAGGTGGCGGTCCCACCAGTTCGCCGCTGCTTTTCTTTGTCGCCCTCGGTTTCGGTGTCGTTTTCACAAACCTATGGTAGGCCCCGTCCACTGACGGCATTCGCCTCTCCTTATCTGACATGTCCACCAGGATCATTGTAGGCGTCAAGTACTGCTTCCGCTACAACCGTCGACGCGCAGCCCAAACTGCCGCCAGTACAGAGATTGACATGGCCAACATGCCTCGCCCCCACCGACGGAGGAGGGAAAAGAAACTAATGACCATGGACGAAGTCAATGAGCGCTTCCCACTGACCAAGTACAAGCAATGGAAATCGAGCCGTGAAACCGAGGGGCTGCCATCCAACGGCGGCATTGCAACAGCACCCCAGAGCAGAGCGGCGAGCATCAAGGACGTCGAAGTTGCCACCTCCCAGGACGAGGGACCAGGGCCTCGAACAGAGACCGCACTTTCCATGGCCCGCACCCACCATGCTGCCCAAAACTCAACTTCGCAGCAAACGGCCTCTCCAAGATCGAGCGTTGAAAGCACAAAAGGCGAGAAGATGCATGATGCCGAGAAGCAGATTGAAAAGGACAGTCCGGTCCCAGTAAAACCAAAAGAGAGCCCAGAACATGGTGTTCCACCGCAAGCGACTGTGCACGACCGCGACGATGACTCGGATGATGATGACGATGACCCAATCCGCACTGCGACTGCACCAGAATTACTCTCTGACCCTGGCGACACTTGCGCCATCTGTATAGATCTCCTAGAGGACGATGAAGATGTGAGAGGGCTGGCTTGCGGCCACGCCTTCCACGCCAGCTGTGTTGACCCATGGCTGACAAGTCGTCGCGCGTGCTGCCCGCTCTGCAAGGCTGACTACTATGTGCCTAAACCTCGCCCGGAAGGTGAAGCTGATCCTGCTACTGGTCGTCGTTCAGCTGCTGGCCCCAGATCACCACAACAGGCCGTTTGGACATCAGCCAACCCTTTCTCCCGCACCCAAATACTCATCACCAATGCCGATCCTAACCAACAACCTAGTCCCCAGCGATTAGGACGACTTGGACTGTCGAGCCGGCGTAGCCACCCGGTTTCAACGGAACCACCCCAAGGCACTGCCCAACCAGGACAGAGCTCCAGCTGGTTCTCACGCACTACACCCAGTCAACCACGTGCTCCCATGTTCTCGCGCTGGTTCACCCGCGACAGGAGCGGTTCCAACAATGTAAATACTCCCACAGCCACCCAGCAGCCTACCCCAGGGCAGCTTGAGGCCGGCAATCGGTAGTTGTCATTGACACGCCTTGTAACAAGAGCTTTGTTTTCGGGCCCCGATTTTTCACGTCTCTTTACGAATACGTCCATACCCCCCCCCTCTGGATCTTTTTGTGCGCCATCGTTTACCCTTGCACCATCTATGAGTCTTGAATCTGCTCGACTCTAATGTCCCTCCCCTTCTGCTCCTCCAATGCAGGCATGTTCACTCCTCTGATCTCGGCCACCGAGCACACGAGAGCATGTTCCCTGGGCCGGTTATTTAGTTTACTGCATAGTAGGTTTCTAAGGATATATTGGGAACACAGCATCTCGGCGGCTTCTGTTTGTTTGTTTTCTCGTTTTTGCGTCTTGGCTTTGGGAGTGTGGGGGGCAAGCAGATAGGGATGTGATGAGAGAGAGAGCAGGCTTGCGGCTATAATGTCATTGTACATGAGCCATTGGATCGATGTAGTATATATACATACACACATACAAACACGCACACCCACACATGTAAGGAAGGGGGAACTGCCAGCGAACAAGGTGGAGGACTAGTGTTTTTTTATTTGGATCTTACATCCCCCTGTCTCTAACGTCCCCCCCCCCGCGACACGTAAGTCACCCTATGCCGGAAAGAATCTGCCATTTTAGTATCTTAGAAGTCACGCTATCACTAGTATTGCTCCGCGATAATAAAATACTTATTCTTAAGGTTGTTCTCTACAAACTTAGAAGAGCGGCTAGAAATATCGTGTCCCGAGGTTAAAGTACCCCTCTTTTCTTGCGGCACGGGGGGGGGATTTGCGTGACGCAGGGAGGGACATTAGTATACCTTAGTAGCCTCAAAAGGCGTACGATCAATTTCCAAGCGTTTTGAGCCAATTCAAACCATGTACATGTTTGATGCATTACTCGTGTGTTTGTACGTGGGTTTCCATATTATACCCATTGGTATCATTAGAGTGCGAATCTGAACAAAGGCGAAAGAGGAGAACACAACTCCTTTGCAATCACCAAAAGCCCAGAAAGCCAAGAGACACACCAGGCCTTACACGGGCTCCGTAGTTCTCCAAACGCCCAATAGTCAAATAGTCAATAATTCATCCCTTCAAGAACCAAGCACGCCATTACACCCCCCTCAGCCTCACCGTGTTGTTCCTCGTCTCCTCATCCTCTTCCTCCTCAGGGTCCCCTACGTCCTGCAACCGCATAGCCCGCAGCAGATCTCTGCCCGCCCTTGTACCATCCCTCAGTTCCATGGCGCTCTTGAGCAGCATATCCTGCATCACCCGCGCATCTACATCCACACCCAGCAACGCTTCAACGTCCGGGCCCCTTGGAATGGGGAAGTCGACAAGCGGCTTGCCGTTCGGTCCTACACTGACCGTTGTGCTCCTGCGGTAATTGCCCTGTTGTTGCTGTTGCTGGTTGTCGTGGTCAAACTCCGACGAGGAAGAGTACGGGTTATAGGTATCGTCCGTGTCCGAGTCAAGCGCATATGTGGTTGATGTCAACGATGTCGACGTCGAGTCGTTTCTGCGAGCTGGCCGGAGCCCAACACTGCCATAGCTTCGCTGCTGTGGTGGTGCGAGGTTCAGCCGCTCAAACGCATCCCAGAGCTCGTCGACATCTTCTTCTTCCAGTGAAGTATCCGTCGTTACGCTCATAGGGGGAGATTGGTCATCGCTGCTCACACCATACGCCATATTATGCGACCAACCATCCCAGATGACTTGCTGTGAGCGCTGGTTACTTCGGTGATATTGCCCTCCTCCAAAGTTGTTGGATCCTGGCTTAGACGGCGCATGCACCTGGCTTGCTGAGCTCACGCCCCGTAGGTGCAAGGCTGTGTGGTGCAAGTCTTGGTTCGTTGGCTGGCCTTGTTCATCATACTGCTGAGGTGTCAACAGGCCTGGCACTGCGTGATTAGGCTCAGATTGCGATTTTGTATGGAACGATGCGCGGTGATTGTTCTGGGAGAGCTGAACCTGGTCTTCAAGGTTGAAGGGGTTGTCGTTGATACGCTCTGCTCCTGCCGTGTTTGTTTCAGAACCCGAGGTAGACGGACGGTAGTCTTGCACCATAGCCATGTCCAGGTCGATCATGGATGAACGAAGTGGTGATCCAGGCGCAGAACTAATCATCTCAGGATAATCGTCTATAGGCGCCAGCGCAGTGGTTTGTGCGTGTCGCAGGCTAGGACGGAAGTTGGAGTTAAAGGTCGGCGATGAAGGATCTGCTTTGTTAGATCTGCTGAACTGTGGCTCTTGCGGACTGCCCAGATCGAATGTCCATTCTTCAGTTTTTCGTTTATCGTCCATCTTAGGGAATGTCCAGTCCTGGGTTTTACGATTATCATCCATCTTGGGAAATGTCCATTCCTTTGTTTCTCGTCGACGCGATATGCGGTTTGACGCACGGTTCCTAGGGGCCTCATTATTGGCTTCAGCCATTGCTGCGTCAAACGTCCACTCCACTGTACGTCGATTTGGTTTCTGGGGCTGAGCTGGAAACGACCATTCCATCGTCTTACGGTTGGGTTGCTCGGCGGGAAATGACCACTCCATTGTCTTCCGGTTCGGCTGTTCAGAGGGGAAGGACCATTCCATTGTTT